CAGAGCTGGGAGAGAGAGAAATTGGTCCAGCATCGCTGGAGGGAAGCGGAGCGGATGAGAGAAACACACGGTCCTCACGAGCAGGATGAGCAGGACTTAGCTCACCGACTGTTTCCCCAGCACCAGGCACAAACTGGATGTTTAAAGACCGAACCTCGCCGTCTGCCATAGATCAGCGCGGAGATCTGACTGTATTCTATCAATGAGATCTGCGGAGTGGCTCTGCCGCTCGGTGGTAACGCAGAAAAACACAAGATGAAGAAGCAGTTCAACCGAATGAGACAGCTCGCCAACCAAACAGTGGGCAGGTAAGAGGTGAAACGCCCAAAGCAGCCAAATCAGGAATGTGTCGCTTGTTTTGCCAGCTTACAGTGTTCAGTCAGTCCCTCGATGGGCTTTTGCTGCTCAGCTGGTCTGATTTGCACAAAGCATTAGCTGTCAGTGTAGGTCACAGTTGCAGTGTGAGCACTGTGTGATTGATGGAGCTCAGCAGGGAGGAGTGTATTTGCACTCAGATGAGGACGCAGCAGACGAGGTACCCCAGGAGCAGGGAAGCTGCTGGCCGGTAGCCTGAAAGCTTAGGGTGGCCCTGGGCACCCTGCAGTGGAATCAGAATTCAGATTACCATGGATGGATTGCCATAGATGGGCCCTGACCTCCTGAGCCTCAGACCCTCCATATGAAATGACTAATATTTCTTGTTTGAAAATCACAGAGCTCAAATGAATGATCACAAAGTGATGCAAAATAATCCCAAAGAGAGGTAAAACAACCACAATGAGACACAAAACAACTATAAAATGACACCAAATAACTATAAAAAGATACAAATGACCATAAAGAGACAAAAATGACTATAAAGACAAACAGCGGCCAAAAAGAGATTCAAAATGGCCAAAAAGAGACGACAACAAAGAGACAGAAATGGACTACAGAGGAAAAATGAGCACAGACAGATGCAAAAATACCACAGAGACACCAAACAGCCAAAAAGAGATGACCGCACAGAGAGACACATGACCACAAAGCAACCAAAAATGGACACAAACATAAACTGGACACAAACATAAACATAACATGACATAACATAACACAACATGAACATAGAGACAAAATTACTACAGAGTGACATAAAATAACCACAAAGAGACACAAATGTCTACAAACAAATCCAAACTGACCCAAAAATTACCACAATGGCAAACAAAACAACCACAAAGATACCCAGAATGACCACAGAGACACAAGATGGCCATAAGAGCAGAGAAATTGGCTACAGAGAGACAAAAATGACCTTATAGAGACACAAAACAACTGCAAATAGACACAAAACCACAAAGAGACAGTGCAAAGGATGAAAAATGAAGAAGAGACATTAACTTTCAGCAGCTTTTTTTGAGTATATGACTGACAACATGTACGACTCTTGGTCTGTCAGTAAATACATATTTGACCTATTATATGTTGTTATATACATCATATGACAGATTGTAAGAATTCAGAGTTGTATTTAAATTTGTGTTACTCCTAATTGTACAGCTGTTTCTTTTCTAGTGAATGTTCATGGCAACAAGCGTCTCTGGGCACAGTGCTGGTGACTTTGGAAACCCATTTGGGTGTTGAGTGGGTGGAGGCCCCAAAAGCTCTGGCTATGCCCGTGGGGAAACCCAACTATACGTGATAAGGAAAGGATTATAATGGCCTGAGAAACTCTAGGTTAGGTCCCACATAAAATGATTTTTCCTGTTTAGTGTCAAGCTCAAGAAAAGCTTTATTTAATCCTAGAAGTTCAAGTATAAGTTGTACTTAATGCTGTATACTGTAACAGCAACCTGGTGGCACATCTTGGTTGATGAATGTAGAAATGATTAAACCTAGTAAATCCTGACTACACAAGGCTGCATCAGATAGTATGCAAATATTAGAATATTTTAGGTTAATGTTTGTAGGCTTATGGGATTTATTATCAGTGTGTCTGCTATTCCTGCGAGGTTTGATGCTTCAGATAAATCTAGAGTTTGCTCATCTCTCAGTTGGTACCTGAGGCTCAGTAGATTATTGTTAAAATAAATGACGCATTTATACTCCCAGAGTTTGTGAACACGGTCTGTCTGCTTCCTCCAAGTGCAAATTAATTCAAGTGTCCCTGTTTTTGGCTACAGACAGGTGAATGTCAGGGGGTCACTGGTTTCTCTCCAGCTTCAGGTCACATTAGACAGAGCAGGGAGGAGTCACAGTTGGATTCTAGTGAAGAGGTGTAGCTGCAGCTCGCAATAGGTGTTGTTAAGTCTTTTGTTAGTCATTTTATTAGTTAACCCCACCCTTAACCTGTAACTGAATGTCAATGTCATAAGTCAACACAGCACCCTTGGCACTTTGGAGCAAGTGTTTTTTTGTTTTTGTTTGTAGTTCTTAGAACAGGATCATTGTTTTAATTGTCTGAGCTCAGTCTGCAAGCAGAACCCATCAAATCAGAAACCAGGTTGATCTGCAGCCTGAGAACCTGCTCCAGGGTCATTATAAAGCATAGGTACATACTGACAAGAGCGCAATACAACCTGTTTGTTCTGCTTGGCTGATGGCAGTAATGACGACGCTGCCACACCAAGAGGATTTCGTGTCCATGTTGTACCTTGTTCACCCATAGTCAAACCACAGGCTGATACAGATCAATGAAGAGGGTATTACTGCAGCTAATGCCCAGCAGAGCGGACATGGCAGAGGTATCAGAAATCCCTGGATAGCATTTACCCATTAGCAAAAATAAAATTACTGGAACTGAGCCTTACTGGAGCTCAAAGGAGCAAAAGCTCTACTGATAAATCCAGCTGGTTATTTGCAGCTTTATAAATATGAATTGTGTGTTCAAAGCCAGGTGCTTGTTTATTTCCCCTCATCTGCCTGAGAACCAGTGCACCAAAGCCCAGTGAGGTGGAACATCCCGGTAATGAGTTTTAACCTGTGTCATAAGAAGCAGAACAGCAGGAGCAATTAGTCATATTTAGAGGGCAGGGACTCCAACATGATGCCTGATGGCTGGACACACAGTTACAGTAACTGCTGGTGCTTCTTCCATGACCTTGGCATCACTTGACTTATTGTGAAGCTTGGAGTGAAGTTAATTCAATACTGACCTTGTGACCTTGTGTCATTTAAACATACCTGTAGATTTTGTGGGGTTAATTCAGTCTAATTGAACTGTATCATTATTTTGTCCAACTGTTTTTAAAACTCACTTGCATGCACATTTGTTGCACTCTCATCTTCTTTTTGGCCCTGGGATTTGATTTGGATTGCACTAAAAGGTGAAAAATGGTGGAAATATTTATTTTTATTTACCATTAGACTATTTTTTCAGGCAGTCCCTGGTAGGCTAGTGGTTAAGGTACTCTCGCTGCTGCGGCCCGGGTTCGAATCAGGGTTGCGTCAGGAAGGGCATCTGACCGTAAAACATGTGCCAAATGTCAGCATGCGAGTTGTCAGTGTGACGATTCGCTGTGGCGACCCCTAAACGGAAGCCGAAAGTGACTTTCTTATTAGACTATTCTTTCAGGACATTGCCGCATTGCTCCGATTAAGGATATCGGTCAAGAGAGGTTCAGACACGGTTATATTCATCACCAAAACAGTCAGGCTGCACCATTAATCCCATGTAATGCTGTGTAAACTGTGTGACTGAATGAAAATGTGTAGCTCTCTGTAAGCACAGTGAGGTGATGGCAGGAAGGGAACAGGCCTAATCCTCCTCTGGCTCCATCACTTCTTAACTCATCTTCTCATTCACATATTTGTGTCGTTGATTGAGGCTGGTTATTTGACATGTTGGTTTGTGGATGGAAACGTTTCTTAATAAAAACATGTTTCCTTGTAGAAACCAAAATATATTGGACAATTTTGCATCGTGGCAAAGTTCATTTTCTGTCCTGCCCGGCCCGGTGTGTTGGTCACCTAACTAATCACACCTTAACAATGATTAATTCACAACCACAGTCTTTCCCCAATCTTAACCATACAGTACTGCAGTCACCATACACAGATATCGTAAAGAGCCAGAATTAAAACAAAAGGCTGGACATACTACAGGGTTGTGATAATAGGGTTGTTATGAATGTTTTTGAGCCATCTCACAGTATTTTTGTCCTTAGTGATAATGACAGTGGAAATTTTTGCAAGATTTGTGCAGGGAGCTGCAGCTTGGTTTCACTTCATTATTCAGTCTGACATTGTGTTCACTCTGTCTGGGAGGGGGTGCTAGTTTGCCCTAGCCACTCAGTAGTGAGTGACATATCTGCTCCTTCCCTGGGCTGACTAACAGCAGCTTGCACATCTGCATCAGTCCCACTTTTCTCCATTTTTGTGGCAGTTTTTCTGTCACAAACTTTTCTGGCTGTGGCACAGAAACATCCTCTTTTTCATGATGAGTTTGGCTTGATTGTTTTTCTAACCAATAAACATAACACCAGACCTGTTTGATCTGCTGAAATGCAGAGACAGGTAATGAGTGAACTGAAACATTTGCATGAGCTGACAGCTCTACAGAGGAGAGCAGGCGTTTGGATCCAGCCTGTGTCTGTACCTCGTGGGTGCTGAATCCCCAGTAGTCCCCGACTCCCTGCTGCCTGCAGGGTCTGACTGTTGTTGTGACACTGTTGACAGCCCATCAACGCTGAGCTTCAGTGTTTTGTTCTTATTTCTAGCCATTTGATAAGAACTGCTATATTATACGTATAGGTCTTATTAGTACGAATAGCTCCACAGAGGACAACATCAAATATTCTGATCTGTTTTTTAATCCTTCCCCACTGCCAGACCATCATTTAAAAGATAATGAGCTCATTAGTCAAACATGGCAGTGTATATGTGCGCTCATTTCAGCTCAGAATTTGATAATTTGTTGCCCTTTATTTGGAACATAATTAATAATAACATGGTGGTATTCATAGCCAGGCTGGTTTTGACATAGAATACAGTGGGAAGATGCTTTTCTGGGATCAAAATGAGGTTATTTGGGTTAGTGTTGGTCTCTGCATGGCTGCCACACGCTGCTCAGAGTGAAAGGGTAGAGAACCAGACGAATGCGACCTGACATGGATGACATTATGTTTACAGCATCTTGCATCTCTCCACACTCCTCTGAGGTGCCAATTCCCAGTGACGGGGAGAGGTTTATTATGAATAAAAAGAATTACCACACACCATAAGCTGACATGATTTACTGGTCCTCTCATTTCATTTTATAGTAATGGTTTTTCAGCACTTCCATTTGGATAAATGAGTTGAGATATGTTTGTGAAGTTACATTGGGTAT